TAGTGAGAGAGAGAGAGAGAGAGAGAGAGAGAGAGAGAGAGAGAGAGAGAGAGAGAGAGAGAGAGAGAGAGAGAGAGAGAAAGAGCGGGTTGCTGCATGAGGTCGGATGCTCCACCGTGTCGATTGCCCAACACCACAGATTGGAACGTCACCATGCCGAATTGTTATTCTGGGCCATACTTGCGTGATGCGCTCGTGCCCCCCCCACGGAAAATAAGTCGTCGACATGACTCATGTCGTGAGAGCATTATGGTCATTCCCTAGAAACACAATCCGAAGCAGACGACCGGGAAGGTCGTGATCCCCCCAGCGGCAAGACATCGTAGACAGAAATTCTGGGTCGCACAACACCCGTAGGTGAAGAATAGCACCCACAAGAGACGCGGAAAAAAAGGGGGGGGGGGGGTAGGCTCTGAGCCTGCCAACGAGATGGAGAGAAGCCAACTGCGTGGTACGGCATGCTGAGGATACCGTTGCCAGGTGTTCTCAGACTGAATGGCCTTGCTCCCAGCATATTTACCTTGAAATTGGCGCCTGCTGGGAGGCGGTAATCGGTAAAATTAGACCATCCGGCTAGTCAGCGCTGACTCAGTGGTCTAATTAATGGTCAAAGCGTTTGTAACAAAAGATATACTCTCGGCTCGTTGCCATCCAGCTGGTCACTGTGACATTTGGAAGTAGGGATCTCCGGGGACGGACCCCTCGCCAGGCGCTGCCGGAAAAAGAACTAATGGTGCTTGTGAAAGTGACCAGCTGGGATTCGAACCCGTGCGTGGAACCTTGTGTAAGAACGCTTTGACCATAAGACCACTGAGCCAACGCTGACTACAGCGTTGACTAGCCGGATGGTCTAGTTCCGCGATTAAAGGATACCCGCACGAGTTCGAATACCGGCCGGATCACTTTTCTCTGCGTAAAAATTACCATTGACTGAGCAGCCGCGTTTGGCGAGGGGTCCGTCCCCGGAGATCTCTACTCTCAATCCCAGTGATTAAGCTACGAACAGCCTCAAGCCCATGTGATCCGGCCGGGCGCTAACGAGCTCAGAGCATATATTTTAATCGGTAAAATTAGACCATCCGGCTAGTCAGCGCTGACTAGCCGGATGGTCTAATTTTACCGATTAGGGGGTACGAATAGATAAGGGCTTCTGCGGTTGGCTACCATATCTGCTTCTGAGCTTGACCCGTGTCATAGGGTGAGACACGGCCACAGTGGCGCTCGTTTCGCGATACAGTGGTGCCGTGGTCACCTCGAGAATCTCATCACGACGGTACTAGATGTACACCAGTATCTACAAACACACGCGCGGCTCGACGGGTACCTCATGCTCTCTCTCTCTCTATGTAGGTCAACTTCGAGCTCGATTTGTAGACTGCAGCTACAGTGTAGTACATGTAGTGTGCCGCGAGCAGAGACGACTCTGAGTGTCTCCTCTACAACACACAACAGGCAAGCATGCCTGTGTCCAAGTTGTATCAAGGTTTGGGATCACGTCGATAAGGTCAGGATTAGGTTCGTGCATGTATCTATATGTGAAAGGAATCACAGGAGAAAAACGGTGCTGCCTTTTGGAAGCAGCTCGTGACGCCTCCCTTTTTGAGATGATGGCGTGCTGCGGAAGACTGCCGCCAGTACTGCTGTAGCCCTACTGCTGTAGATACCAACCACCCGAGAAGAGTAGCAGCAGCTGCCACTGCTCCTCCCGCTACGGTGTGTTCTTTTCCCCGCCGTGATAATCAGATCTGAACCCAGGGGTACAACACGGTTTTGCCGATGCGTACGGTGCGAGGGGTTCAACAACGAGAGCTTTGAAGGCTGATTATGTGTGTGGTATACGATCCAAATAATGCGAGTAGACTCCTCGCCGCAATCATACCTGTCTGGCAGTTTCAAGGTCGGTCCTAGTGGGATAAGAAGTGAGTCGCAAGGCAGCGCAGATAGTACGGCTATAGAGCGACAGCGTAGCAGCGTAGTATGATAAATCGGCGGTCGTCGGAGAGATTCACAAGGGTTTCGAGAAGTTGCGAGGCATTTCTTGCGGCGGTTTCGTCTCGTACGACACACACACGAGCGGCGAGCAGCGAGCTCCGTGCGTTTGCTCCTGTAAGTGTATCTGTCCATCGCTTTTACCTCTGGGTGCTGTGAGAATGAAACAGCCACCGGAATCGAAGTGCAAGCACAGTAGCCCCTCCCGCCCTATCACTGTAGTACGTACGCGTATCTATCTTGACATAAATCTTGACGTGTACGATATCCCGAATGTTAGAAAGGCTTACCCATTAGACTACTCAGTCAGCGCTGACTGAGTAGTCTAATGGGTAAGCCTTTCTAACAAAAGATATACTCTCGGCTCGTTGCCACCCAGCTGGTCACTGTGATATTTACAGGTAGGGATCTCCGGGGACGGACCCCTCGCCAGGCGCTGCCGGAAAAAGAACTAATGGTGCTTGTGAAAGTGACCAGCCGGGATTCGAACCCGTGCGTGTATCCTTTGTTCAGTCAGCGCTGACTGAGTAGTCTAATGGGTAAGCCTTTCTAACACCGAAAGTAGTTGGACGATTCACTAAACGTTTTAGGCCTACATACAGTGTAGTATTGAGCGCAGCAGCAGCCGTTCCCATCATCTCAAACCCTGTGACGTGGAAAAACTCCGCTGGGCTATACAACCATCGCTCTGATTTGAGAAGCCATAGTGAAAGCTTGCTGACTATGTAGTTCGATCTACTGTACACTGACTCAACCGGGTCGGGCAAGAAAGGGGCCCGAGAGAGATAGAACTCCGGATGCAGACCCGGAACGATATGGCTGGCTGGGGTATCAGAACGGGGGCGACTGCCTGCACCAAAACACACAACCGTTGCATCTTGTTGTTGTGGAATTGAGGAATGGTATGACTTTGGGGCGCTCTCTCGGATTTTGGCTGTCACCGTGACTTGGGGTGCCCAGCAGCATACTGGCTCCCGCAACTGGGCCGTTCGTGCCAGTACACTGAGTCGTGTGCAGATACACACACCAGAGACTAAACAAAAAAGCCAGGCGTGCCCGCTGTAGCACCGTACCCGCAGGAGCTCCCAAAGGCCCAAATATCTGACCGAGGTACTTGAATTTTGGAAGTACCGAGCCAAATCTCTCTCGACCGCTAGTGTAACGGCTTTCCGGATGATGAGTCGGTCGACATCAAATACTCTCTTTTACACCTGGTACCAAGCTTGCAGCAAATACAACACCAAGCGAAAGCTTCTCCTCAACCCAAGACAGAAAAAACCACACAAACAGCAAAGCACATTTCTATAATACCGCGGATAACACAACGCGGGCCCAAAATCTTGGCGTGCTGGCACGCCTCACTATCACGAGCCGCTCGCAAACTGTGGTCTGAGGGGGACGCACACATTCAAGCAGCGATTGATTGTGCGTCAGTGCACCTGCACGTACACAAGCCCCGCGTTTTTCCACCGCCGCCAGGCAATTCATTTCAAAGCACATTCCAGTCCACGCCGCCGTGTCCAAGCTCTTCGAGGGCATCGTTGGCCTTCTTGAAGCACTCCGATCCGATGAACGGGTCCGGCTTCCTCGTGGCCGAGAGGGGGGAAGGGTGCGCGCACGTGATAACGCGGTGCTTGGACGAGTCTATCAGCGCACCCTTTTTCTGCGATCGACAGGGGGGGGAAGGGAGGCAGCGAGAGAAAAGCAGGAACACAGACAGAATGACAAAGACGGACAGAATTAGAGACACGAATGACAGGCAGACAGACAAACAGGGATGCAGGCAGACAAACAGACAGACAGATAAGACAGCAAACACAATACACGGAAGCCGAAAGGGTGGGTGGAGGTGACTTGGATCCGCGGCATCTCTGACGACTCTTCTCGGTGCAGTGTGGAGTGGGGGAGGGGAAGGGATCACCAGAGGGCGGCCATTTCTGCAAATAGTGGCAGGCTGATCTTCCAACACCTCCGGGTTTAAACCCTGCACGAGCACAGGGGAAGACACTGTACTTTCGAGCGAAAAAAACTAACACCGGCTGACACGGCCGCCGTACATGAGGCTTTCGAAAGGCCGAACAAACTAGCAGTTTGCCAGCCACGGATCTACCGGTAAGACGCGATTGACATTGTCGGCCTCGTGGGGAGCAGAGTCGCACCCGGGAAGGCTGACCCCAAAAGAGGGAAGAACAACCACCACTATCCCGGTCTTCAACACAAACGAAACACTAGGTGACAGCGGCGTTAGGCTTGTGCAAAAATGCCTAGATGTAGAAGCCGAAATCAAACCATTAGACCTGACGAGTCTACCGGGTCAATTTCGGCTTCTTAGACCAAGTAAGCACAGCACCAACTTCTACGAGACCCGGCTTCGGAAGCAAGCGCCCACCTGGGAAGGCTTTCCCCACAGGAGGAAGACCAACCGCCGATCACCCTTGTTCAGCTCCCGCACCACCGCGTCCGTAAACTTTTCCCACCTGGCGGGTCCAAGATATGTCCCGAATCCATCGAGAGCGAATAAGAAAGTTTGGAGTTCGTGCAAATGGACCCGGTTGTTTCATGCGTGGTGCTTCTTGTCTCATGGGGCGCGCTAACCAGCAATCGACCCGATTTCGTGGCGGGAGAACGAAGGAAAATTGAGAAGAGGCGGGTACAACGGACGGGGAACATCCTCGCGAACCGCATCGAGGACAAAGACGCCAACACGAAGGCCACGCCGACGATGTAGAAGAAGATAGGATTGTGCGAAGCAACGAGCAGTTGTTCCTCAAGCGCACCCTTGGTTCTTGTGCGAGTTAGCCTTGGACCTCTCGACGCTCAGAACCGTGTTGAGCAGCAGGACCCCCTGGCTGCACCAGCTGTCCAGGTTCCCGGACTTGGTGGGCGTGATGCCGCAGCAGCTCTAAGCGGACAACACAAAAACGGCATCGAAGGGGTGTGGGTGTGATTGTTTTACGTTGAGTCGCTGAAGAAAGGGAACATCGATCTAGATCAGCCACCTTCACCACCGCAAATTCCGGCTCTCGGATTTCCCTTTCAGCTCCACTCACATGCGCAAGCACGCGGTCGGCAGCAGCTCGCCACGTCAGGAGCCTCTCCAAAATCGTCCAATAACAGGTGTGTGTTCTGTTCGTTGGAAAACACGCAGTAACTCTACCACAGCACGGGCGTCGAAATTCAAACGCAGCCCAAGCCTCTACAAAAAAAACAACTTTGTAGTTTACTCACCACGGCCTCCTTGACCATGTTCCGCAGGCTTGGCGGTTGCATGACCCCCTTCATCACCGAGAAAGCCAGGCCGTGCGCCTGCCCGGGCTGGTGGTAAGGGTCCTGCCCCAAGATTACCACCTGTGTGCCCCCCCACACCCCACCGTCATCGCCACCCGCCGTCAAAAGAAGGACAACAAGAGAGCGGCACCGGGCAGAACGAATCACACAGCCAAAAATGAAAACAATGAGTTGCGAAACGATCAAAACGTGCTGTCGAGTCATGTGGTCGGTATGTAGGTGAAGGCAGCATCGGCGATAAAAGTGTCTTGCACAAAAACACGTTAGTCGAAAATTCGCGACAACAAGATGGCAAATCACAGGTGCAAAATAAACACTCGCCATGCGGCCAAGTCACGCAAGCGCCTACTTTTGGTTTACTTTTTCTCGCCTTCCTGGGTCTTTTCCGTACCATAATTCAAAGGCCCACTTGATCAACACGCAGACAACCATACTCCCCTCGAACAGCATCTAAAACGGCATGGTCCACAGGGTACCGCCGAAGACTCTTTCAAGAAAATCGCTCAGGAAATCGAGGTGATCGTGGGCTGAACCTCGGCCTCGGCGCACTGGGCCGTACACAACAACCAACGTCATGTACTGCCAAAATCGCCATCCCCAAATTTTATGCTTCGACGCGACCGCGTGATGAACAGACGTGGCCGGTCCGCACCTTGACGTTACTCAGCGGGCATGAATCGAAGGCGTTGAACAGCTTGTCCCTCGGCGGGTAGATGACCTTCGAGGCGTACTGCTTGTCCAGGAACGCCTGTAGACGGCCGAAGTACGGCTTGGTAGTCTCCCCCGACAGCGCCGTCGCCCACCCATCTTCCTTGATAGGCGAGCCTGCAAGTCCGAGGTTAAGGTAGAACGGCTTTGGCTTTACAGCTGGAGGGCTACGACAATGTTCGTTTTGTACGAGGCTTACCAACATCATTCAAATCAACACGGGGTGTATTGTAGGGCCGGGCATGAGGACTATTGACATGTTGCTCGTTCTCCTTTTCTTGTCGGTAAACAGCAAACGCTGTTTGTGGGTGCCCCCACGCCTTTTGTGCAGTTGGAAAGGTGGTAGTCCATTCTAAAATACTTCGTAACGGCTGTGTGCATCGCGATTCATGACGCAATGTCGTTGAATACCACCCCCCAAAGTTACGCTGTAACCTGGTCGATCCTGTCACACAGGAGATCGGTTCCAATGCTGCCGAAGACCTCAGCCGTGCATTAAGGCATAACGGGGAGCATGTATTGCAATACAGTACGCCAAAATCTTCTCGGGCACGCGCAGCAGCGCGTCGGTTGGGAGAATCGGTGCCAGCGATTTTGCAAATTTGCCTGCCGTGGGGTGTGTACTGCTGTATGTGTGTAAAAAACTCGTCAAACAATCCGACCTATTTTGAAGAATATCCAGCTGACAACAACAGGTTGCCGATCCTGGTTGCTCGTCCTCAACATCGTCTGCGACTGCTTGGTGGTGGATGTGGTCTACTACACCTCCGTACGGTGGGTGGTCCCCTTTTTGGGAGCTGGGTCTCCCCCCGTCACACCTATCCACAGGACGGGTCCGAATAGGCAGACATGACGGTATCTTACATACCCTGAAAACTGAAAACCTCTCTGATTCGCGAGCCCATACAAGCCTCGGACGAGAGTCACCCACACGACCATACAGAGTATAGCGAAAACCTATGCGAGGCGATGGAGCGAAGTCGGTGCTGAGACCTATGTATGCATATACATGATGGCCATGCGTGGAATTCTCCGACGCCGTCTCGCGGCCGAACTCTCGCAAAACAGCAATTGCTCCTTTCACTCATCAACCTACCTTCGCTGCTGCTGATCTTCGGCCGCTTGGATACCGCCCGCTCGCCTGACCCCAATCCACCCCCCGATGCTGCTGTTCCAGCTGCAGCATCACTGCTGCTGTCTGGCGACGCGCGCTTGGAGCTGCCGTTGTTGGCGCCGGTGCTGCTGTTTGTTCCTGGCATCTTTGTTAATGTTTTCGTAGATGATGTCCCCGCTGTACTTGTTTTGGGAGCGAAGAAGCTGGTCAATGATCGCTGTTGTGCTCCAGGCATGATGGAGAGCGACAGCGGCCGAGGCAGCAAATTCGCGTTCAAATCTGTAGGTAGGCGTGTTTCTGTAACCCTTCCCTCTGTCAGCGAATTCGCGATGTTTCCCTCTTTCTCTCTTGCTCGTCGTCATGGTGAACCACAGCTTGTGGCGGGGAAATTTGAATTTTTTTTCGGGTTTTGTTTTTTTTAAAGGACCCCAATCAGAATCTTTGAAACCGCTGAAGAAGTTTTTTTGCGGGGATTTCTCGTCGAGACGTCGAGCCGCGGATCTTGCCGAGCCAATACAGCCCCAAAGGATTGGATCCTCTTTGAGGAGTGCCTCAGGCGGGGTGTGTAGGGATCTTTCAACGTTGACGGACAAGCCAGGCGGAGGTGAGACTGTTGATGATGTTGTACGCATACAATAGCTACGGGCAAGTACAAAGTGGGCACAGCAGCAGTAGACTCGAGGTGAAAGTAATGCCGCGTCGTGTGATAATCTGCCCTTGGAATCAATTACTTGCGAAAACAATTGTGGTCTTATCTCGAATGGGTACAAGTCTTTCTGTGTTTTTGTATTTATGTTTCCTAATGTTTTGATTGTTGAAGAGTTGATGATCATATGAAGACTTTGTTCGAAGCAGGAAATCTTGTCCATACTACAGTACGCATTCACCGATCTTCCAAGGCATCCCTCTCAACTGGCCGGCCGACGACGAACTTGACGCCAAGAGCGAACGTGTGCACAGCCCACCTTCGCCACTGAGTGGAGAAGGCTGGAGAGGGGCAAGATCTGTGCAGGAACTTGATGAGCACCCTGTTTGGAGATGGTGCGGCCATCGCGTGGGAGAGGCTTCAACGTTGGGCTTATGTCGGCGGCCCAATATCATGGCACTTCCCTCAGGCTCACCAGACCCCCGTCGGGCATACTCTGCAAGACGTACCAGTGCCACTCCATGGCGTGCCTCGATCGACCCGGTCTCGAACTCGGCGACAAGATCATCATGCCTCAGGCGGCATTTCATGAGGCAAGCTCACGACGTTTCGCAGAAGTTTCTTACAGATGTATGCGTCCCTGGACCCTGGTCTCTGGAGCCTATTTTTTAGTGGTCCTCCTCCTGCCGTAGACTCCTCGCAAGAGACGATGCTCTTGACCTTGGGTTACTGTTACGGGTTTACGTAGGCTACCTCGGGCACGCCTACATTTGTACAGGGACCGGAGAGCATGCAGGCGTTGAGGTTTCCAACCACCGTTCGCACAGCATTTACCTTCGTAGGAGAAATGGGCATGTTTATATATGCCGTTGCCTCGACTCTGCCATCCACGAGCACATAGACACCAATCTACACGAACACTACGTGCACCGTAAGCTCCTACTTATATCCCTTTCTGCACCGTCGCTCTGTCGCGCACGCGCATCTCCAGGCACATCGCTTGCGCCTGAAGCTACCTCTGCTCTTCAAATTGGTAAATACTGATGTCGGCACAAGGAGAATCATGGGTACAACTGGCCCATCCCCATCCCAGTTCTGTGGGGTACTCGAGTTCAGCGCACCCGAAGATCAGGTGCGCAACACAAAGCATACAGGGCGTAAAATAGTAGAGGCGAATCGCACCTGCATGCACGTTCTTCTCCACGCGACTTGCTCCTCTACTATTCATTCTGGCGATGCTATTGTAGGCGTTAAGGCTGAGGGCGAGGTAGAAAATGTGCATGAGTTCTCCTGCACCGCTGTCGGACGTACGTAGAGCTGGCTCATGTCGGGAGGAGAAGGGGTGCCAACTGAAGTAGGGCATTCAATGGTCAGATGTTGTCTCGTGCGCACTCGTTCTCCCCGTTCTGCCGCGGCACCGCCACTACTACCACATCCAGGTGTTTCTACCATACTGGCTGATGCAGAACTTGCTGCTGTCAGAAGGAGGCCGGGTGGAGCTCCGCAGCATACTCCGTCCACCCGCGGGATCTTTCGTCCGGTTCAAGCCGCACGACGAAGCTTTTCTTGGCGTGGCGGCCAAACAGGTAAGGGGAACTCTCGGGGTCACCGCTCTACCTTCTACCCTTGAGACCCAGACTGCGATCTCAAGGACTTCTGTGTCAAGCTCATCGGTACACCGTATCGATATGTCTGCCCATGCCCAGTCCACATGGTGTTTCCGTGTCCACCGCGATCGTGGCACAGCATCGAGTCTCGAGATTTGGAGCAAGAACAATTGCCGGCGTAATTCCCGACCAGGATCTAATGGGGGAGCGCCCATGGGCTACAACAATGGCGTCGCTTGTCGCTTTTTCCCGATACATTAGGTTGGATACGCAAAGAAGGATAATGCTTGTCTTTGCTGGCAAGGTCAGAGCAGGCCATAGTTGCACCAAAAAACAAATACCTCTTGCCCTTTGCCCCGTCAATGATGTTGTGCCCGCTCTGCAGTAAGGTGTCATCGAAACGCAACTACCACATACGTCAGCGTTGACAACAACTACAATAACAAACAACAAACACTGGTCCGTCACTTGCAGGGACCAAAGGCTTTGATGGAGTTCGCTCTTCGCCGATACTCCGTTCTTTCCGAAGGAGCCACCATCCTCGTGCAGGTGAGTCACCTCTTAACGCGGGCTGCATGAAACCGCCATCGCGCACAACGGTAACCATCGGACCGATCCTAGTATCCCCACGGAACGTATGCATAGTAGACCAGGGTTTGACAGACCAGGCAGGGTTGTATATTCCAAGCCCGATTCGCTGTGATGTGCTCAGCGAGTGACGCGAAGAATGTGAAGTGAACCAATCGCAAACGCCCCTTTATTAGGCAGGGAACACTTGCAAGCCGTACATACTCAGTTGATACCTCGCATAGCGCGCAGAGGGAGTGGAGGATTCCAGAATATCTGTCGTTGATTTCTATTGACTTGCGGACCCCTCGGGGCCAGTTTATTTGAGTCTACCTTTTTAGGGTAAGTTAACCTGTGACCACGGGAATCGACCGCGTCGAGTGTTGGATCAGTACGGACATACGAAGGTACTGGGTAGAGAGAGATCGGAACGGTTTTTAATGTGAAGACAACAACAACAACAACAACAACAACAACAACAACAACAACAACAAATACTTGCGCGTAAGGGTGACAGCATAGAGTGACTCGATTGGTGGGTTTGTTTCCGGTGTTGGGGGCTCCGCGTCTTGTGTCGTTTGAATCCTGCAATGAATCAGGACGGAATGCGTGTCGCTTTACCCCCTTTGCATACCCGATGCGGTAGAACAGCTACCTCTCCACGGTAGTCTCTGGCCGTAGTCGTTCATCGTCGTCTTCCTTCATCGCCTTGGTCTAGAAGCGTTTTCAAGGCAGCAGAAACCTCGAGGAAAAGTCCGGTTGATCGAATAGAGGGTAGCACAGAAAACCAACAAGGCATCACTAATAGACGCCCCGCGATATCACCATACGTTCTTCCTTCCTCCCGCTCTTTCTAATCTATTTTCGCTACACACCGCCATTTTGGCGGTACAATTCTGGCCCCCTTTTTCCTGCCGCTGTCGATGATTTGTTTTATCCATGAAATGCTTTTTGCAGCATGAGGGTGACAATTTTTTCCTCGACGTGATGGAGCTGAGGACGTTCGACTCTGCCCCCGCGACCGTCGTCTCCGACGGCGATGGCGACGGTCCCAGCCCAGGTTATTCGTCAGCGGCGCCCCGCCCTCCCAGGAACGGAACGCCCGTTGGAACCGGCCACGACAACGACGATGACGACGTCACCCGCAACGGCGTCAGCAACCATGACCACCACGATGGCAACGGGTCGCCTCATGGCGATGCGGGGAGAAGGGTACGGCAAGATGACAACGGGTCTCCCCGTGGCGAGGCGGGGAGGAGGGTGCGGCTAGTGGGGCTCCTGGGAGACCTAGACCTCGAGGTGGAGTTTTGCTCGCCCCGCGCCCCGTTACCACCCTCGCCCGCTCCGCACAGCGGCACCGAAGGAAACGGACGCAACGCGACACGACGGGGCCCCGCGGACGAGGGGGGTGCTTCGATCGGGGAAGTATCGCGGGACCCCGCGCGTTTCCCGACGCCGGCGTCTTCGTCGTTAGCCCCACGGCCGCCGCCGCCGCCGCCGCCGCCGCCGCCGCCGTCGTCGTCGGACCAAGTCTTCGCCGACAAGGAAGATTCAATGGAGAGCGGCGATGTCGGGTCGACTCTGTCCCTCCCGGCACCCGCCACGGCGAAGAGGAGCAGCGGTGACGATCGCTCGGCGGGTTCGGGGTTGGAACCGTCGCTGTGGAGAGCGGGTGAGGAGAGTAGGGCCCGAATATACGATTCTTTAGAGAACCGAGAGGGCCTGGCTTTGCCCCCCGACCTGGAACTCGGTCTCTCCTGGAGGGAGTCTGGACTACGTACGTATCTGCGTGCGTGCGTGGCACCGACAGCCGTCGGCTACCTCACCTGCTTTCCACCCACCCGGATCCCCCGACAAAGTGGATGCGCATGGCCTTGAAGCACTTCCAACGCTAGATCCGTACTTCATCCCTGCACGCCCAGAATTGTCTCCCTCGTCCCTCCCGACACCCCAAACGACAACGATTCCACTGTTGCACGCTCAAAACGACGCCGACATGTTTTTATATTTTTTTCTGCGTGCAGGTCACCTAGGGATAAAGCCTCCCGTCCCTCCCTCGTCGAGGTATTCTTCAAGGGTATCAAAGCGTCAGCCCTTCTCCGGAAAGGGCATGCCGCTGTCAGGGGGCATGGCAACAGCGACCCCGAACCCCGGCAACGGAGTGGCAACCGCTGGTCGAGAGGACCAATCACCAGAGGCAGGGGAGGCACCGCCAGCAGCAGAAGCGCAAGCTCGGGCGGTGGGGATTCGAAGCTACAGCGAAGAGGACGTAGATCCCCGGCGAGGTAGCAGCGTAGAGAGACGTTTTGTTAAGGAAGCGGTGGAATCAAGTAGAGGAAGCAGAGACAGCTTTCCACGACGGGTCGTCGTCGACAGGCTTGGGGTTTCCAGGAAATCCGCGTTCTCGCCCCAAGGGACCAACGAGGCGCGAGGAGCTGTGGAGGGGAGGATCCTCGGCACAGGAGCACTGGTCGCGTCGACGGTATCATCGGCGTTAGGGACCAGGGGGGACGGTAGCGCGACAGAAACGGAGTCATCGAGGGGTCAGCGGTCATCCGGCGGCGACGGTGGTTTTGCGGGCGTGAGGTTAGCGGAAGCCCCAGCGGCGGCGGCGGCGGCGGCGGCGGCGGTGACCTCCACCTGCGGGTCCTGCGGGAAGCTCGTCCCCTCGGCGAACCAACAGCTCCACGCGTTGCGCTGCCGCCCCTCCTCGTCGACTGCCGGACGACGACCAAGACGCGGTGACGGCACTATCCCCCCTTCCGACGACGCGCCACCCGTAGCTGCCGCCGAACAGCCGCGGCCGACGGCGGCGAAGCAGGACACCGCTGCAAGAGAGTCCACGGCGGCGGCGGCGGCGGCGGTGGCAGCAAGTCTGGTGCCGCCGTTCACTTGCGCGTACTGCGGGCTCTCCTTCCGGACAGCCGGTTCCGCCGGCGACCACGAGACGCTCTGCGCCGCGAGGACCGAGCGGTGCGGCCGGTGCTGCGGCCTCGTGCCCCGGGGGGGCGCCGAGGCCCACCGCCGCCCAGGGGGTGGCTGCGACGCCGCGATCGCAGCCGCCGCGGAGAGGGAAGAAGCGCAAGCAATCGCGACCGTGGTTGGGGGTGGGGGGAGAGGAGGGGTGGGAGCGACTGGTCTGGGCCTTGTGGGCAGTGCGGTCGGCGGTGCGGAACCCAGCGGGAGTTTCAACGGCCACCTCGATCCCGGGACGAGCAGGGGCAGGTTCGACGCCCTCCTGGCGAAAGCCCTGAGTTCTTCCAAGGCAGCGACGGCGGTCTTGGCCGACGCTCGCGCCAAGAACGCCGCAAGGATGGCGGCAGGGGCGGGGTCCCCGACGGGAACGGGGGCGGGCTCTCGCTCGCACCGTGACGGCGGCGGCGACGGCGGCGGGGAACATGGCAGTAGAGTCGAGACGGGATCAGTTTCTGGAAACGAAGCTGCGGCCCTTGCCGTGCCGTCGGCGCCAGTGGGCAGCGGAGGACCGACACCCTCAACAGAACCAGGCGCAGACATCAGCATGACAACGCCTGGGGAGGGGGCCCGGTACGAGCGCCCCCCTCCTCGCCACTTTGGCGTGGGGAGGGGTACTGACCGGGAAGAGGAGGAGGAAGATAGGGCGGTCAATACCGGCCATCTCAGAGATCGGCCGTGGACGTGCTCCCGGTGCACCCTGATGAACCCTCGCCACGTGGGAGCTTGCGAGGCCTGTGGGTCAACGGTCTGGTCGGAAGAGAACGACTCGGAGAAACAAACCGGCGGCGAGGGGACCGAGCGGGCCAGGACCAAGCCTCCCGGAGCCTTCGAAACCCCGCCGTGTAGTGTCGCTTCTTCGGAAGCGCCGGCGATGGGGGCGGTCGCTCTGTCGGTGGGGGGTGCCGTATCCGCGCGACCGCCGCACTCGGAGCGCTCCTCCTCACCCAAGCGGTCGATGCCGAGGGCTGCAGAGGCGGCGGCGGGCGGAGTGACCGTGTCACGGGCGAGGTTTCTTAGGCCACAGGTAGGCGTCGTCGTTGAAAAAAACGCGGCCTCTTTGAAGGCCCCGAGGGCCGAGCCGCGGTCGCCGCCGCCAGCAGGGGCGGTCCCAGACCACGGACTACCCTCCGGTCTTGACGGCACACGCGGTGCCGGCGGTCTTGTAGTCAACCATAGCCCACGTTCGACGGCTGCGGCTGCGGCTGCGGCGGCGGCGGCGGCGGCGGCGGCGGCGGCGGCGGGAGAAAAAGGTGTTGTTCGCTCCACCTCTCCATCGGCTGGGCAGGTCGAGGCCCTGCTGCACCCGTTGCCACCCCGACGAAACACGACGCTGATGGTGCCGGAGATTATGAACGCACTGCAGCAGCAGCAGCGGCAGCAGGGACGGCAGCAGCAACAGCAACAGCAGCAGCAACAGCAGCAGCAGCGACGGCAGGAGCAACAACGGCGGCAGTGGCATCGACGACGACGGGGGGAGAACGCGGGAGCAGCGCAACGGGCGGATCGACGAACAGGAGGAAACCGGCAGCAGCAGGGTTCTCGACGACGGCCAGGACACCGCCCGGGCGCGCGGCTGGTGGTGACGATGGGCCCCCCTCGGCGTCTAGGAGGCGTCCATTGCCCTTCTCCGATGATGCGGTTATCGTCCCTGTCGCCGTCACTATCATCAGCGATGCCACCAGACGTAACCCGCCCCATTGGACCGGTGGCGGCGGCGGGGGGGGCATCAGCGGTCACATCGGCGACGGCAGCAGCAGCAGAAGCGGCGATGTCGGCGGCGCTTGCATCGTCCGGCGACCGTTCTGGTGGAAGCGGGATGGACCGCCGGCATGGGCATCGTCTGCCTTGCCTTGTTTCTTCTTCCGCGCCCTTGCCGCTGGCGTCGTCTCGCGGCGGCGGTGGTCTTGATTGCGGCGGCGGCGGCGGCGGCAGAAGAGCTGGCAGTGGCAGCGGTGGCAATAGCCGTAGTAGACGAAGGGACGCCGGCGGCAACACAAGCGAATTTTCAAGGCGCATCCCGCCAGACCCCGGGCCGCTTCGGACAACACCACCCATCGCCCCTGCGTGCGACATTTCTTTGTCTATCCTCGGCAGAAGGAGCAGCCAAGGGCGTGTCGGCCTGGAACCCGGCGAAGTTGCAATCGAGACAAGGCCGCCGAGCACTTCTCTTTCGGTTAGTGAAGTAAGCTTGGTAGCACCCCTCCAGCGGGTGATGCGGGATGCCGGCGGCGGCGGCGGCGGAGATGTTGCTGTAGGTTGGGGAAAGCGTGACGGGGGTAGAGTGAGAGCGGGGGTGGGAATCGCTCCGGCGAAGTTGCGACGGCGTGTCAGCGACACGCGACTACTCGAACCGCTGTAACCGGCCCTCGGTTCTGTCCGTGATTTATCACAACTCTCTGGCCAAGTGTCGGTTGTGCGCATACATAATCGAAACCGAGTTTCGACATCGTGACACCGTACCATCGCCTTCAATTCTGTGATCCGTGCCGCGTGGTGAGTGGTCGACACGCTTTCGATCTTCCTTCGAACGCATGCCGCAATGATTCTTGACATGTATACCGGGAGCATGACACGAATGCAACCATTGCGTAACTTGACGGGGGGGCGTACTCATTTGTTGCTTGCCTTAGTCATTTGACCATTGACCACGCGTCCCTTTCGAGACGGGGGGGGGGGGGGGTTCTAAGCATGGACAAAAAACATGGTGTTGCAGGGTTGTTTCGGTTACCGACTGCGCGCCCCCCCTCTTTATAGAGGCAAAACAAACCTGCTTTGGTTGTGCAGACTACGTGCGCTCTTGAATACTGATAAGTGTACCTGACGATGTCAGGTTGTACAACGATGCTTTCCACACTGTGAACACACACGGAGGTATACGGCACGTCTCCCCCTCGATGCCCAAGCCCAGGAGGTTATTGCCTCTAGTCGGCTAAATAACCAGCTAGCTGTGTCGCAGCAGAGTGTTTAGTTCCCGCTACTCTAAGACGTCGTGGCCTAAGCAGCAGCAGGTGGTCCTGGGCCGAACGGCGGCGCAGATTAGATTCAGGAATACTTGCTATACAGGTCAACATCAGCAGACAACGAACCACGGCCTTAAGAGCAGAGGCATTGGAGGAACGGTTGGTTGCAGGGAAGACCGTGATCGACCTCGGTTCTGCCACGCACCGCGATCTCCTACCTAGTTTCGCGCGGGACAACAAGGACATGACTAAACGAGAGGCCGAATATGGGCGGGGACTTGTGCAATAATAGTGATGAACAAAAGCACAAGTGTTTATACTTTCGAAATACGTGTCGAACCAGAGGCAGGGGTCGTGTCCGCCCAAGGTCGTCACATCCGAACACGCGCGCCAAAGCAAGAGAAAATAAATTTATCGGCAACTTTAATTGTCGAACCCAACGGACGATACGGAGGTCGTCTCGCTGTGCTCTGCACCGCAAGGATGAAGAACAAAGTACATTAACCTCCCTTGCGTTGCGTTGAAAATCAATGCAAGTGTGATACTACCGACGGAGCACCGGTGTTAGGCCCTTAAAGGGGGAGAAAAGTAAAGCATAACCTTAGAGGACGTTTTCAAAACACAGCACCGAAAAAAATATGGTCGCGACGTCAGACCACACCAAAATAATAAGAGAGAAAGCAACGCAACCATAAAAAAAAAAAGGCGAGGTGGAATCTGCTGAGGACAAACGACAAAACGCCAACAGCACAGACTACAGCAAGAAAAAATCTGGGGACACCAAAATCGCAATCTCCAGATGGGAAGCGCATGGAAGTCGCGAGCAAACACGACAAAGAGAGAACGGACAACTGGGAACCTTGAAAAGTTGAAGGCATGGCACCGCGGGGGGGGAAAGTGAAAAACAAAATGTGCGCCGCAACTGGTGGTGTGTAAAATAGACATACCGGTAGTTGGAGACTGGCGCAAAAATAAATTAGGTGAAAAACAAGAGAAAAAAGCAAAGTTGGCAGCGACAAGAGCGAAAACAAAGAAAAAAAATATCGAAACAAAGTTCAAGTTCGCAGGGACCAAATACCGACAAAATACAATAGGGCGGGCATTCTATTCGGTCTTTAGAAACACGACAGCGATCAAATGATCTACCGAGACTCCCGTTCCCAAACTCCGAGACTTATCCAGAACCAACAGAGGTGATCGCGAAATCATCAGAGCAGCGAAACCAACCCCCACACCCCACAAAATACCTCATAATTTTTAACATATACTACTTGATACTGTAGAGCAAACAAAAACTCGGCAGTCCAAGGACCCCCGATTTTGCCCCAAAACTGCTTCATTTCCTGCTATCGAGAAAATCAACTAGGAGCCCCAGGAGGGCGGGAGGGGGGACAGAAATTATCGCCGAAACCCTAGAGCTACAGTACACGCTTCCAGGTTTCCAAAATTGTGGGCCTTCAACAAAGGGATGGTCCGAACAACCACGCTGCATCACGAACTACTGCTGGTGAATCTGCGTGGTAGGCAATCGGAAGGCGGGGGCGAGACGTAGAAAGATTGTATGCCAGATGCTTCCGACACCTAAAACCTGAACCGTCACCGCAGAGAAGACCCGAACGATCACTTCATATCACAATAACGCACTATCACCTATCGTGCTTACACGGGCAAACAACAAATGACTTCTCTCCACAAGAGTGCGCCAGGAAACCGTTCTGAGAACCTTCCCCTAAGACACCGCTCGGCACCGTCTTGCTGCAGAGGATAGGACAAGGGATGTTTCGGTGTAGGCCAATACCACCCAGGCGATCGAAAACACACATCGCATACCACCTTTCCGGCGCAACACCCACTCTTGGCAGTGCTCTCTCTTTCTCCTGGCGTCAAGCTTTTATGACATACCAACGCTAGTTTCGGAAGCCAGAGGCTTCCACTTCCTCCTTGTGCGTTATCCGCCAGACATCACCAACCGAGAGCAAGGGGGCTCAGACGGCCATACAGCTTTGCCGTATCCCCAAAGCCGAGCCACAACGCACGTGCCCAGGGTAGCCCACCACATACGTAACACCTAGCAATATGTCCGCGCCGTACGACGTTGAGAAACGGGCGCTACTTGTAGACCCATCTACTCTCAAGGGGACACTGCTACAGGTATTGCTCTGCACCACGACAGTCAAGACGGAGGTACCGCGAGAGTCCTATAGATCATCCGCAATGTATGTGTTCGTTGCATTCAGTGCGCTAGGGAAGGGCTGCAGCCAAGACGGATGACGTTGTTTCTCTTCGCTGCCGCGGCTAAGGACACAACACTTGATAACCCTTGAGGTTCTTGTACCAAGCGCCGCCGGAGGGGGGTGGGGCGGATGCCCTCCGCCCCCCTCGCATTTTCCTTTTAGTGATAGGGGTCTTCTGTGATGATGACGCCCGTCTCTTTGTGGCGCCAGAACTTCTTCCCGTCGGTTTCCTTGTAGCACTCGTCCCAACGGTAGCCGCCGCCGCCGCGGCCGCCGCCGCCCGCAGTGGCCGCGGAAGGCGGAACGGAGGCGTCACTCCGCCTCTGCCGCCGAGCGCGACGCGGCTGGTGTGGCACTGATTCCCACGCTTGCCCCGCGGCGAAGCACGGGGACTGGTTCTCCACCGGGTAGGCGTTCTGATCCGGCAGCGGCGGCGGCGGCTGCTGCTGCTGCTGGTCGCGCCGGTGCCCATACGGCGGTGACACGCCGCCGGTGCCGGGAGAGAAGTACCCGCGCACGTGGGGCGGCGTCATGACCGGGGGCGACACGTAGCCGTTGTAGGGCGGCGACGCGTAGCCGCTGATGGGGTAGTCTTCGGCGGCCGGCGGCGCCGTGCAGCCGTAGAATGGGGGCGTCACGCGGCCGCATTCCGCCGGCGTCACGCACCCGTCGCCCGGCGTCCTGCATCCGCTCCGGAACGGGGTCACCGCCACGGGCGACGCGGATTGCCGCTGCTGCAGCTGCGACGGCAACGACAACGATGACGGCGAGGCGTAGCTCCCGTCTTTGCTCGGGTCTTCCAGCGTGGCTTCGTGTGTTACCCCGTTGTACCTGTTTTCGCCGGAAGGAAACGAACAGGACGGCTTTAGGCGTCGGGAGTTGTTTTCTCGTGGAGCTCGCACACATTGTGGTGGTATGCAAACAATATGACCAGCTTGGGATACGGCGGAAACACTGTGGGTGTGTTTTTGCATTACAGAGCAGCGGCCGGGATGACGAGCGAGAGAGGTTGTGTGACTTGCTGCGACAAAGCGGAAAAACCGGCGGCTTGGTGGGTGGCCGTCGACTGTGTCTCAAACACGCAGATGCAGCCCAGCAGAGAGACGATCCGCCGATGCACAACTTATGTTCAGCAGCATTCAGTCTACGTGTACTCACCAGAACGCACGACCACTACCGTCACGGGCACCCGTCCATTCAACGGCCGCTTCCGACGCCTCGAAGCGCTTTTCTCCCAGCACAGCTTTCGCCGCATAGGCCAGCATCTTGGTCAACAACGTGTGAAACCGTGGCAGATGCAGACCGGCCGACTAATTGGTGCTATTGCTGTTCTTGATAGCGAGAGCTCGAAGGCGGCAGAACCCAGGTTTTCTCGCGGCGTGACGCCCGGGAAAAGAGATGGTGTATGCGGCACGTGCCCTGTGCGGAAGGACGGGACCAAACAGGACGGGAGAGAAAGGCACAGCCGGCGATGCAAACGTTTTAGGGGGGAATGTGATGTCGAGAGGCCTGGCAAGGAAGGGTTAGGTGGGGAGGCTCAGCTCTCCTTTTGTGATTAGCATTCTGTCTGATTCCGCAGAGACTTCCAACACGGAGAAAAAAAATCCACGCCTCAACGGGAGCCGAGGCCACGACCTGCTCCCAACCTCGGAACCTTGACGGATTCCTGCCGTCAAACTCGCTCGGAAATATTGACTCTGCCACTGAGTTCGTGTCTGATCGTGGCAGTATCGGTGGTATTTTGGTTTTTGGTTGTTTCGCATCGAACACGTCTGTTAATCCAACTCTTCATCCCCTCTGCCATATTGCTACAGCACAGCGGGAGAAATCTTAGTCTTTTCTCTGTGTAAACCGCGCGTAATTGCCATGTGAAAGTAGGAAGGGTCAACAGCGGCAACCGGTTCCCTACCATGGAGGGCCAAGTGGTTCTCCGTACTATGACCACGACGAAAGATAAAATTGAACAGATGAAGGGCACATATCCTCAGCAAGACATGAGGGAAATGTAGAGAACGGTGTATGGTTTGGCGGCTGTGGCCTCCTGGCCACAGAATCAAGGAATGCTGATGTTTGGGCAGCCACTGCTGAAAGCACAAAATATGTCGTTTGGCAAGGAATGCGGCATCGTGTCTCGCTTGGGAGCTCATGCGATTGGGGACCTCACAAACAACAAGCCGAGGGGTCAAGAACTCATCTTGCTTGTATTTGCAGGAAAACTCGGAATTTTACCTCGACTCAGATTCCACCGAGTCTACGGCGAAGGCTGTGTCACTGTGGTGGACGGTTCACCGATTGCAAAAAGACGCCCTTCGCAAGAAACTCGGTAAATACGCACGGCGTCGCAACGTCCACAAAGATTTCACCACTCCGCGAAGAGCACGGGCACACTCGTGGGCCACACGCAGTCAAGAATTTCAGCATCCAGCTCTTAGCAGACAGAGAAGCCGCAACCAAAGCAGGGTATTGTAGTCTCAGCCCAACGTGTTTGGGGTCAAGGTTGGACGTCGGGCTGCACGCACACGCCCGTGCCTGCAAGAATTAATTATAGGCTAGCCCCCGTGAACGCGTCACCACCAAGCACTGCTGCGAGAAAAATTCACACCCACCGCCCCAGGGCTTCGTTCAGGCCCCCGGTCTTCCCAACTACAGTACCACAGCTGATTTTGGTTGTTCCCCGTTCACTGACGACGTGCAAGGCAGGAAGAAATGACGTTTCTGGCTTTACAACCCCATGTGTCTGCAAATAAATAACAACCATCAACCTCCACTCACGTAAGTTGCCCTGATGTGCAGAGAAAGGAAAGCGGCTATGGCGAGGTGAGGAAGAAGCTATGCTGGGGTGCGTCGTCGGACGATGATGGCTTCTCAGGGTCTTGCTTGATCAGCGCTCGCGAAGGCGAAGAAGTCCGCAGCAGTTGTTGGATGTGTGGTGTGTGAGGGAACAGGGGGTGTTTCCTGCTAGTGGGGTAGTGGTGCTCTTCTGGAGCAGCCGAGAGATGGAACAGATTATTGATGATTGAAGATGAGTGTGGTGACGCGCCTTGTTCTCCGGGCCTTTTTATGTAACTTAATCGCCATTGTATGCACAAATAAGCATGCTGATATTTTGGCGCAGTGTCGGTATGTAGACTACATATATATGTAGACCTTTGCGACACGAATATAGACATGCTTCTCTGGCTCTCTGCTTCTACAATACTCCATGGTAATGGAAATCGATTAAATCGCACTATATCTACGAGCGACATTCTCGACCCCACATCGAGATCCTTGATCTGAGGCCTCCAGTTTGAAAGAGCCTCGATCCTAGTGCAGTCCGATCTTGTGAGCAACACGGTTACGACTGGGAGAGGGATCCAACGTGCCTCATTTTGAGCCGGTCCCGACGCAACATTGCATAGACTACACACGCACGGGTACTGCTGCAGATAACGGCACGTGTAGACGTTTTTCGTAAGAGGGAGCGAGTCAGTAGAAGGAGAGAGAGAGAGAGAGAGAGAGTCAGTAGAAGGAGAGAGAGAGAGA